CCAGGTTCGGACCGAGCCGCTTTGCAGTAGCCGCCGGTGGAGCGGCTCACGCGATTGCTGGTGCTGCTGCTGCTGGTGGTGGTGGTGGTGCTTCTGCTGCTGCATCGGTGGCGGCTGCATCGCCATCTGTGGCTCCGTCTGCTGCTGCTCTGTAAGCTGCTGCACCCTCCATTGCGAAGGCGGCCCTTGCATGAACGGCGCCGTTAGGCGTGCGCCGCGTGCGCCGGGCGAGGGAGGGAGGAGCATTATGGGTACGAAAAGCATCGCAGGAATCGCACGAAGATGATTGATGACGCAGAAGAAGAAACAGAATCCGACGTGAGGAAAGACTCCCAGTCCGGCGCCAGAAGAAGAATTTTGTAAGCCAACTCCTCGCACGACACTGGGCACGGGACTGGCGCGCACTGGCACTAACACAGCGGCGCCCTCCCGCGCAGTCGTTGGCGCCGCTGCCCGCCTGTGTTGTTGTATTGTTGTTTGTGCCCTTGGTTGGCACCTTGGGTGCTAACCGCAACCGTCCATGTTAGTAAAGTCAGCATTAGCACAAGGGCTAAGTGCCCCCCACCATCACTCACTGGCTCCCAGTTCGATCACCATCAGTAGTATTCCACAGACGACAGAGTAGTTAGTCACATCTCACTTAGCAGAGCAACTGAAATTAGCATTAGTCTCCACTCCAACTTTGATCCAAGGGCTCACACGCCGCTCAAGTCTTTATAATTTAAAATGCATTTTAATCATTATTTGCCAAGCATCTTGGGATGCGAAGCATCTTCGGATGATTCGAGCATCCCAGGATGTGTCCAGTCCCTCGAGTCCAGTCCGAGCCTCACTGTTCTTCTCACCTTTTCTACCTACCTGATGTGAGGAGTGAGGTGGCTGACCGCACTCCAAGTGATCTGTGATCTGTGATGAGGGTCCGCCCGCAGGGAAACGAACCGAAACGAATCGGAACGCATACGAGCAAGTGCAAGACGTCGAATGGAAATGCTGATGTTTTTGCTGGCCTCGAATCAAGTCGTTTACCTACCAAAGCTTCTAAGCCAGCCGGCCAGGCTCGCCCGAGCGGGGTGCGGTTGCGACCCAGCATGCATAGAGGACTCCTCGGCGCTCTTCCCCGCTCCAAACGTGAATTTCACCCTCTGCCTCCAGAGGTCTCGGGCCATGTCGGGTGCGTGAACCACCTCCTTGTTGCGACCCTGCACCCAGTAAAGGTAAGCCTCGTCGCCCTCGATCGTGTCGTAGTTATAACTCGCCGAGTTGGGATCCAGCAGCGAGGGGTAAAGGCCCCGGATGAACGGCTCATCCTTGGTCGGATCAACGCTCACGGCCGTGATGGGCTGCATCCGTGACCATGGCCCCCATGGCTCCGGCGCGTAGCTCACGCCAAAGTGCGCACGTGCGGGCGCACCCGGCATGTCGCAGTAGCCCGCGAGCAGAAAGAGGTCAAGCTTCGGTAGGTAGCGCGGCACAGGCTGGCTGGGACTGCTGCTCTCGTTGCCAAACCGAAGCACCGCCGGCTCCGTCAGGCCCCGCTGTATGTAGGGGTCTACAAAGGTGCCCGTGAAGGCCTCGGCACCGCCGCCCTGCCAAAAGCGCCACGACGAGGGGTCCGGCAGGGCGGCCTCTGTCGTGCGCATGAGGCAGACGCCGTCTGTCGCACCGTCCTTCGAGCGACACCTCGGAAAAGAGTAGAGATGGCCGTCGCGTGGGTGCTTGACGATCTGGGACGGGGAGAAGACGCCGTAGGGCCCGTGGTTGGGCGCGTACACCTCGCTCGACGCCGCCACAAGATGGCGCGGTGGCGGTGCCGCGTGGCGAATCGTGCGCCCGCCGTCGTGGCTCACGCTGAGGCTGACAGAGTTGTACCAGCAGCGGCCATCGACCATGCTCGTCGCATTGCACAGCACAGGCGAGTGCTCCCAGCCGTGGAACTCGTTATGCACCAGCATGAACAAGGTGCTGTTGCCGCTTTCTGATGTTGGCGGCACAACGTACGGCGCGTACAGCCACTCGTGGTTACTAAAGTCTGCCGCCGGCTGCAGGAAGCCGGACGGACCAGAATAGTTGAAGATCATCAGGCTGCAGTCGTGTTTGACCGAGTCGAGGTTCGGACCGACAGAAGGCCAAGTACCGCGCGAATCGCCAGGTGCCATAAAGGTGAGGTTGGAGACTGGGTCTCTCCACGCCATCGCCGGCGCGTCGGGAACGTCGCGGCGGTAGGGCAACTGCTGGCAGGGCGACGGGTGGCACGGCGCGAGTGGCCGACCGGAAGCACAGTGCGCCGATTGCCAGTCGTAGACTGGTGCTGCGGGGCCAAATGCGGCGACGCTCGTGATGCGTGCCATGGCGGCGGCCCGACGACCTTGGAGCACTTGGAGTGCAGTTGGCAGCCTCACACCCAAGGCCGCTGCGACTTGCGCGCGTCCCCCAGCCGCTAGCCGCAGAGCAACGACCAAAGTTGGCCGCCCGAATTCTTTTTTATGTTGAGCCTGGGTTGCGGCTCCTACCCAGATAGGGGGTCAGTTGCCCATGACTCGCACCAAAACGCCCTACCTACCTACCTATTGCGGGCGCCAATCGCCAGGCTCCGTGCCCCACCTACCTACCTATTCCCACACAGGCCGCGCAGCGAAACGAAAAAATACCCGCCCTCTGTGAATAGGCTCCCAGCGCCCGCCGCGCGCCGGCTTGTACCGCGGTGCGCGCCGCTCGCGAGCCGGCCAGAGAATGTGTTGGACGGCCCTGTTCGCGGCTAAACGCGCCGTCTGTCTCCCGCGCGAGCGAAGCGGTTTTTTTTACCCCCCCCCCCCCCCCCACACCACCACCACCACCACCACACACACACCACCACCTGCCTACTGTACCTATTGCGGGGCCCCATGGCAAAACCGGACCTATCCTGGTCGACCGGAACCTGGAGCCGCGTCGACAATGTTGAGAGGCGGGCTGCGCGGTGCGGCGCGTGGCGCAACGTACCTTAGCGCCGGCGGTTTGACAATGTTTTGCGCCACCAAATATCGCAGTGGCGAACTCGCGCGCCGCCGACAACTGCCAGCGCTGACGACGGCGGCATCAACATCCCCGGCACAAACTCGACAGCCACGTCGATGCTGCCCGCGCGCACGCTCGTCTTCGTGGGTGCCTTCACGGCCACGTACCCACTGCTGCTTGTCGGAAGCGTGGCACGCGCGATCTACCTGCGTGCGACTCTTGGCATGCCCTCCAACATATTGTCCACGGGCACGTACATGGGATGGTCATTCGGAGAGAAGCACCTCGCTGACCAGCACTACGTGTCCCAGATGCTTTACTCCAAGCCCTTCAACGAGGCCCTCTTACGAAAGGCTCTCTTCTCACTGTGCGCGGAGGATGGGATCAAGGAGAGCGAGATCGAGCTGGTCTTCAAGGACGAAGTGCCGCAGGACTGGCCAAAGAATGCCAAGGGCCAGATCACTGGCAGCTTTGCGATGCACCACTTCCTCCCAGAGTCGATCCAGCCGGGCGGTCAGATGCTCGATTACTTTGAGGCGCTGGCCGGCAAGCCCAAGGGCCTCAAGGTGAGGCTGCACGTCTTTAACGGCCCGCCAGGCAAGATGTATCTCGGTTGTGTCTCGGCCGTATCTCGCTGTGTCTCGCACAACAGGTGCTCCCTCGACAAGAACCTATCTCGGTTGTATCTCTGCGGCAGCTCGGCCGGCTGTGTCTCGCACAACAGGTGCTCCTACCGTCATCCTCTACGCCGGCTCGGTCAACGGCTGGGACGGCTCCAGCAACTACAACTTCAACAAGGAGCTCCAGCGCCGCTACATGGGCGAGCCGCCGCTGGAGATCTTTGTCCAGGAGAAGACGAAGATCACGGAGGCAGCGGCGGCCATGGTCGACGCCGCTGCCGACACCGCCGGCTTTGCTCGCTTCCTGCTCGTGCTCCCCCTCAACCTCGCCAACTCCCTCGGCGGCTTGCTGTGGAATGGCGTGCGCGCGGCAACGTGGGCGGGCGGCAACGGGCTCGGCTTCAAGATGACGGCGATGAACTTCTCAGAGGCGGAGAGCAAGGCGCTGTACAACGGCGCGAAGGCTCTCGGCGTTAGCCCCTTCGCTTGCTTCACGTTCGCCGCGCACAAGGCGTGCAAGGAGGTGCTCGGCCAGCCATTCCACACAATGGTGCAGCAGGCGAGCCTTCAGACGCGCCACTTCCCCCTTGCCGACCAAGGCAAGCGACGCGACTTCGTCGGCGACTGGCTGGTCGGCCCGGTCGCGTACTGCGAGCCTGATTACACCCTCGCGAGCGCGCAGGCGGGGTACGTCGAGCTCAACCAGGATCTGGACGCCTTCGGGCCCAGGACGGTGAGCTCGTTAGTGGCGAAAGCGTATGGGCTCATCAACTGCGGCGCGGCGCCGTTCGAGTGCGTGCCGACGTACAACGACGATGCGCACGTTTTCGACCGCACGCTGTTTATGAACAACTACGGCGTGCGGACGAACGCCAATCCGGCCTTTGAGGCTTGGAACTGGAATGCGCCGCTCTGGCTCGGCGTGAACACGATCAACGTCAACGGCAAGACAACGACGCTCGTCGGCTCATCCTTCTGGGGGCTTGAGGTCGTCGAGGCTCTGCGCGACCACATGGAGGGTACGCTGCGCGAGATCATGGCGCAGGCGCCAAGGCGAGGGGGAAAGGAGGTACCCGCTTACGGCGCCAAGAAGTGAGTGATAAGACTCACTTCCTGCTCGTGCAACGCTTTTAGTACGTTGTCTTCCGTGGCCAAGATATATGAAATGTACGGAGGCTGCGCAGGCCTTCCTCGGTTTACAAGATATTCGCACAATGTGGTTCTTTTTGTAAAATTCTTTTTGAACTTAACTTCTAGGTCTGCGCTTATATGGAACGCGGGGCGCGGCCCCTGACCCGCAGAGTTCCCGCAGAGAGCCCACAGAGATTCTCGGTTGTGTGCTTTTGCAGATTGCAGCTTGGAGTCTGGCCAGGGGAGTTTTCTTCTCAGAAACGAAGGCCTCGTATAAGTTACCCCGGCCCCAGGCTTCCGCCTGAACTGCTGTCGTTTGTGGTTGCCAGCTCTCCGGGCGAGGGAGCCCGCGGCGCCCACGCCGCAGGGCACTCACCCTCCCCTGAGGCAAAACCGTACACCCACCGGCACCAATCCTGCGCCGCCAGTGGCGACGACGCGCGCCGATATCCCCACGGCGACTCCCCCAGCTCGCAGAAGGCGTTCCAGTACGCCATCGCCGCCGCGCCGGCGGCGGCGAACGCAGCTGCCTGCCAGCGTGCGTACTGCAACAGCTCGAAATCGGTGAACGAACCGCCTGTGTCACGGTCGTGTCAAGCTCATTCCACACATTGTGACACGCGGGCGCAGAGAGGGCCCCCCGCCTTCTCCGTCGCCGCCGGCGAGCGCGAGCGTGTACTCCCCGACGAGCAACCGGCCTACTTCACAGCCGTTACTACCGTGAGCAGGCACCGCCTCCTCCGGCGGCGGCTTGGAGGAGCCGGAGCTATTCCCTCGCTCGCGCGGGCGGCCGTGGCCATCTGTCGCAAGTCAGAGGCGAACTCGGACGCCCAGAGCTCCGGCGCCGCCCGCGCGACATGGTGGTAGATATGCACGTCCATCCACGCGCCGAGCCGCGACGCAATCGGCGCGAGCTCCTCGAGCTGGTAGGTCCAGCTGCAGAGGACGACATCGACGCCTGCTCAGCTCCAACCATGGTCAGTCAACCGAGGACTCGTGCTTTAGCCGCAGAGGACGACACCGCCTGCGTGCTGTCGCACCACGGCGGCCGCCGCCTCGTAGTAACTCGCGTAGAGAGACGGCGCCTCGCCTTGCGCCGAAGGGGTTCCGAAGGGGTCCGAGGGGGTCCGAGGGGGTCCGAGGGGGTAAGAGAGGGCCCGAGGGGGTCCGAGGGGGTCCATAGAGTGGGAGTCTTGCTCGCTCGCCTGGCTCGTTCAGCAGCTCGACTGCGCGCCACGCGAGGCGGGTGCGCGAGGCGAGCAGCGACGCCATCGCCGCCGTCGCGCGGAGCGTGAGGTTGCGCGCCTGACATCGGCTCACCTCGGCTCATCCCGGTGTATCTCGGCGAACCTCGGAGCGTGAGGTTGCGCTCCTAGCCGCTTCCCCCTGCCACCCCCGGGGCACCTCAAGAGCTGCTTCTGTGCGGGAGGCCTCTCCTCTCGGCGTGCGCGCCGTTGCGCTAGCGAGGAGCAGCCCCTTGCTGCCCTCGAGCGAGACGCCTCCGTGCTCCTCGCCTGGCCGCAAGAGCGGGCAACCTCGGGCGATCTCGGGCGATCTCGGGCGATGCCGGGCGATGCCGGGCGATGCCGGGAGGCCCACCGCTCCAACGGTTGCGATACCCTCCCCTGGCAAGAGTCCCAGAACAATAAGCCCTGCACCGTTCGCCGAGCAGGCAGGCGCGTGCATGTCCAGCAGTACGGCCGTGAAGCCGGCGGCCTCGGCGCGAACGAGCAGCCGCTCCAGCCGCGGCAGATAGTCGGCACCTGGATCTCAGGGCACCTCGGGTGCGATCTCGGGTGCCATCTCGGGTGCGATCTCGTGCGATCTCGTGCGATCTCGGAGCCGCGCCTGCGTCCGAGCTGAGACTCCACACGGCCTCGTGCGCCGCCGCCGCCGCCGCCGCCGCCGCGTGCTTGACGTGCTGCGAAGCTGGTGCGGTGGAGGGGTCGAGGCAGCCGTGAAGGCCGCCTGAGGCGAGGATCCGACAAGGCTCAGCGAAGGCTCCGCGCGACGGGCGGCGACGAGGGCGGCGCAAGCCGCCCGGCCCTGGGAACGCGAGCAGGTTCCAAAATCCGAGTGGCACGCGCAGCAGAGTGTTGCCCGCCGCCGCAAGCTCGGCCAGCAGCGGTCCGTCGATGTAGCGGTCGATGTGTGCGAGATAGCGAGCTCGCGCCGCCTCGCGGCCCGTCGCCTGCACGCAGCACAGAGAAATGACAGCAAGGGAGGTGGCGAGAGGATGGGTGTAGGGGAGAGGCGCGGCGGTTGCACATGATGGGTAGAGGGGGAGAGGCGCGGCGGTTGCACAACAGATCCACAGCAGATCGCACAGAGCGGAGAAATGGTGGTGCAGAGGGAGAGCCAGTGCGACTGCAGAATCAGGCCAGCCGCCTGCACGACAGAGGCCCAGTCGCCGTCCCACGGAGAAGGGCGCGGCATCTCCGCAAAGAGGGACGCCGCAAAGCCGGGCTCCGGTACAAAGACGGCCCCAAGGTTCACGCCGAAGCGGCCTCCCCAGCCGCGTGGCACGGCGGCCGGCGGCGCCGGTGGCGGGTTCTTCATGCGAAGCGCCTCGATGATTAGTATGGTGGCGAGGAGGGCCAGAAGGAGCGCTGCCGCGGCGAGGTAGATGAGCACGGACCGTCTCTGCCGACCAGGCCTCTCCTCTCGCCTTGAGGGCAGCGGGGCTGACTGATCCGACTGCGGCGCGCTGACTGGCTGCAGCTCGATGAGCTGCTTCGGCTGCGAGAACGCGTCCACCGATCGCAGACCGATGGCGTGCTCCCACGCTCGAGCCATTCAACAACGCTTGAAGACAAGCCCTCTCACAGCAGACTGGCACGGACCGCACCACAAAAGGCACAAAAGGCTCGGAACGGGAGTCGGCTGTGCAGAAGAATTCTTCGTCGGATCCCCGGCCGTCGCCCCCGTCGCCTCCCTCGCCATCCTTTCCTCCACCGCCTTCCCCGAGGTCGTCTCCTCCCTCCCCGCTTGGCCCGCCTTCCCCTCAGCTGCCTCTTCCTTTATCGCCCCCTCCCTCCCAACTTCGCCGTCCCCCCTACCGCCCCCCCCCTCGCCTCCCCGCCACCTCCACCGCCCCCATCGCCGTTCCCCCTCCTACCCCCGTCACCTTCCCCCCCGCCGCCGCTTCCCCAGTCCTCTCC